GAGCGGCGACGGGGCAGCTGGGCAAGAGCCTGGGTCCGCTGCTGCTGCTCCTGGCGCTGGGACACACGTGGAGCTACCGCGAGGAGCCTGAGAACAGCGACAGGTAAGCGCTGCCGGCCCCTGAATGGTGCACGCCAGGCGCTCGGGGTGCAGGCGACCCGCACCCTCGCCACCCATCAGTCACGGGCTGGGCGCTCAACTGTCCCGGGCGCCACTCAACTCTGCCTGGGGGGTGACAGTCTCCGCGCCATCAGCCTGGGCTTCCCCCACGGGTGATACCTCTGCCCCCCACTCCTGCGGCTCTCCTGCGATCCGCTTCTTCAGCTCCAGTGCCCCTGGGACTGGGTTCGCTCGGTGGGACCCTCTCCGGAGGCCGCTGGGCGTCCGCGCTCGGGGACCAGTGGCTGCTCGGCGCGCCGGGACGCGGATCCCCCGGCGCGCACTGGCCCGCGCTCTCACGTGGGGAGTCAACGACTTTGCCTCTCTAACTTTTTCGTAGGGAAGTCTGCTCAGAAAACAAAATCGCCACAACCAAATACCCGTGTCTGAAGGCCTCGGGCGAGCTCACCACGTGTTTCAGGTAAGCCTCAGGCTGTGTCGTGTCGCCACTGGGCACCTGGCTGGTGGGAAGGCGGCGCCGCAAAGGAGGGGGATGGAGGTGCTTTCGGGCACGGGGTGCTGGGATGCGCTGGGTGACTTATCCGTGGTGCGCACCTTTCTCTGTGTTTTCTGGACCAGGGCAGCAACGGGCACCCGAGTGTCTGCACCTAGAGTCTGTGCCCTAAGGGTCAGAGCCTGTTTGCTGGTCTCGGGAACTTTTGCGTGGCTGAGGTTGGAGGGGAAGAGGTGGAAAGTTTACAAGGAAAGTGGATCGGATTGTGGTTGTAAACAGCGAGGCAAAGACGAATGGCTGCTTTTGTATCTTGTTTTGAAAACACAACATCAACAAGTAAATACTTGGCCTTGGGCTGTCTTGTGACCTTCTTCCAGGACAGAGTGTAACACTGTCAGGGCCTCTGTGGGCAAAGGGGTGGGGAGATGGTTGTTGATTGAAAACAAAAACAAAATGTCAAGATTGTTGAGCCATCAAGAAGAGGAGCAGTCTTTTTCCTAAAGCATGGCCCACAGAGCACCTGTGTGCTTGTTAAAACTAAGCCTGGATGGAGCTAGGGAATCTATAGTTTGGAAAATGCTCCCCAGTTGTTTTTTTTTTTTTTTTTCTCCACAAAAGGAAGGGGAGGCACTGTTTTCTGCTTGCAGCTTTTTGGAGGTGAGGGTTGATGTGATTTTCATCACGTGTTCTTGGCTTCTATTCATTCCAGTGCTCTCACTGGACAGAGGAGGCGTGCACCCATAAGCGTGTATTAGTTGCCTGCTTTCTAAAGGTGCTGTGGGAGATACTGTGATCCTCATACACACCGGACTCATCTCCGTCTTTGGGAACCGTACACTGTTTGGGGTGCCAGGATAAATATTGGGCAGTGCTAGGTAACGCTGCCACCCCCAGAGATGAACTTGAAAGAAAAGGAAATTTTACTATTTATAATGTCATAGCAGATGAATCAACTATGATTGTTTTCAGCTTTCAGGAACATGTTATTTCATGGGCTCAGAGGTTCTGGGGAAAGTGGTTTCAGGGCTGGTCAGTTCAGTGGTACAAAAGCGCATCAGTTACACCAGGTGCCATGCTTTAAAATATGCCCTTGGCAGTGGAATGATGACAGGCTTTTAGGCGAATCAATAGTCACTCCTTGGGAAGGGCTGCCTTCTCCGGGACATGGTGTGTGTGTGTGACCACTGAACAAAATATGTGAGGGTTAGAGAAGGAGGAAGAAATGTGTTTAGTTGGCAGGTAAAGTTTGGAAGAGGTTAACTGGGTAAGCAAGGTCACCCAGCTGGTGAAATGACTTGGTGATACTGGCACCAGAATTGCTTGCCTGGTTCTAGGCCTGTGTTTCATCCACATGACCACAATATTTCTTCGGATGCATTGTTTTCCTATCACCACAGTAGAAAGCCTCTAATTTAACATGTAAAGTGTCCCTGAGGTGGTTTGCTCATTTGTTCAGAGCCTGAAGGTCTGCCTGCACATAAATCATCGAGTTACAGAATGCATGTCCAATTTGCAGGAGCCACGGGTGCCTGATGAGTGTCCTAAGGTTAGGACACGTCCATTTGTTACGCGGGTTACTGTCATTTTATTTCCCTTCAGATTTTTGAAACAGCAGGGTTTCTTTCACACCTAGACTCTCGGCAAGAAACACTAGCGGTGTCTCGATGTGTTTCCACTAAGAGGAATGGGAGAGGATGTTTCCAGCTGGAGAAAATGCCCCGTGAATATTCAGTTATTTGGGTTTAAGTTACTTTATGGGAGTGGAGAGTTCTAGGTGTACTCCATTGCTTTAACACTACTTCCATAATTAAGTGCTTTTTTTCCTTTATATTCTCATTCCTTTATTTTCTATTTCTGATCCCCCCCCTCAAATTGAGATATAAGTGACATTACCTTAATCATAGGGTCTGTCTCTAGAGATTCTCTAGGGCAGTGGTCGGCAAAATGCGGCTCGCAAGCCATATGCGACTCTTTGGCCCCTTGAGTTTTAATCACACTGTACGTGCGCGCCCACACGTGGTATTTTGTGGAAGAGCCACACTCAAAGGGCTGCAGTTTGCTGACCACTGCTCTAGGGCAATGTACATTGTGCCAATACCCAAAATGTACTACACACTGTTGAATGAATGCCAATGACACCTTAACAAGAGTCCATATTTACTTAGCATTATCATCTGACATAGGGCATACTCTTCCCCAGCTAAGATGTCAGAGTTGGTGTGGGATGTAGCTGAGTTTATTAGAGTCAAATGAAGCATATAAAGCTATCATGGCCTTACTCCTCCTGTGACTATTAAAGCTTTTCCCACAAGCTGACTTTCCCTTTACCGCCCCCTCCAACCCCCCAAACCATGTAGCTTGAATGAAAGTTTTGTGTTTATTTTCACCTTCCTTTATGGGTCTCATATCAATAAAAGGAGATGTTAAAGGCTTTTTAAAAATAAGACAAAAGGAATACATATGTTATGTGTATGAATTGCCAGTAAAATCCAGTTTTTACTGAGTAAGGCTGTGTCTAATAAACATCCTAGTTAAATTTTTTGGTCTATTACAGATTTATTGAGCATCTATTATGAGCTTAAAATAGTCCTAGAGCCCTCGCTGGTTTGGCTCAGTGGATAGAATGTCGGCCTGCAGACTCAAGGGTCCTGGGTTTGATTTCTACCAAGGGCAGATGCAATGGGTTGTAGGCTCAATCCCCAGTGGGGGATGTGCAGGAGGCAGCCGATCAATGATTCTCTCTCATCATTGATGTTTCTATCTCTCTCCCTCTCTCTCTGAAATCAATAAAAATATATTTTAAAAAATAGTCCTAGAAAATGAGCACAGAAGAATAAGCTACAGTTACTGGTTGCAATTTACAGACTTGATTTTTAGACAAGGCCTTTGAAACTGTAACCAACACACATGGTACATGATTGAGTTCAAAGTCATGTAGTTTATACTATCAATGATCAGGGAGAGATTCAAGCAGCTGGGAACGAGTTTATGGGGAAGAGAACACAGCTTTGTTTTTGAGCATGGCTGTTTAACATAGTGTGCTCGGTGTTTGTCTAAGTTGTGTTAGCTATGATTTTCAGCATCGGGGTTCATGGGCCTCCAAGTGGAGGCCCCCAGCTGCCCCTCAGCTGTATTTGTTCAGGCAGTGGTGTCTTACTAGGCACTGCTCTTGCTCAGGGTCATGTTCCCATAGGAAATAATGACATGGGGAGGCAAACCTCCCACTTCTCTTTGAGATAATACAACAGCGTTGCCAAATCCTATTAAAACTTGGAAGTTAATGTGATATTTCTGCAAATGTGTTTACTTGGAATTTGGAGAACAAGAAGGTCACTTAATTAGAGCAGCATCACCAGATGAGAGCACCGGACTGTAGCTAAGGCTACACTGCGGGAAGGCCTGGAGAATGCACTATCTGGTAGGTCACCGGGTTCCTACAGAAGACTTCGGTAATGTCAAACATGCATAATAGTAGAAACTCAGCCAGGGTTTGAATTCCAGCTCTACCATTTGTGTTGTGACCTTAAACAGTTTCTTAATCTCTGTGCTTTAATTTTCTCATTTGTAAAGTGAGGATCACATTAGTAGTAGAGTTACAGGGTTGCCATGAAGATGAAATGAGTTAACATGTGTAGGAAGTGCTCAACAACTATTACCTCTTGTGATCGCTACTGTGTCTCCCTATGTCTGGTGTAGTGACTGCATGTAGTAGATGCTCCATGGACATTTGTTGAGTTTTATTTGTGAGTTTGGGGCTTACTAGTAGACATTTTTGAAAGTGCATATTCAGATGACAGCCAGAAACACTGAGAGTGTTTATGTACCAGTCACACAACAGTTGTTTCTAGATGCCGTTCCAAATGTGGAGCAGCCCAGATTGGGAAAGCTACAAAAGAACACATCTTTGCTTCCTGCCTTCTACCTGACTACTCAAGGTGCCCTACTTGTGTGACCATAGGATCAGGTAGAGGCCCAGTTACCCCATTTTAGAGGATCTTAGCAGTGAATCCCTTGCATAGGGTCATGAAGGAGTCTTGTTGGCAGAGAGAAGACTAGAAATCGGATCATTAAGTCCTCAGCGCAGTTCTGGTCTCTCTGCTGCCTCCCTGTCTTGAGGCCCACATACTAGTAGCTCAGGACAGGCACCGAGGGCAGCTCTGTGAATGGTTGGCTTATTTTAGGGCATGCGATCCCGCTTTAAAAAAGCATTTATATCTTAACCGTTGACACCCTAATGTTAAGGAGAAAGTGGTAATGGATGTTGGGAAGAACAGAGCAGGCGACAGGTGAAGGCGGCTTTGTGCAAAACTGCCTAAATCGCAGGCATGCTGAAGGCAGCCTGTTTTCCTGTGCTGGTCCTATCTCCCATTGGGCAGTCGGCCCTCAGAGGGCCTGAATCAACTGTCCCCTCATCCACAGCTGTATCCCTGGAGGTTAGCCCTATGCCTGGTTAGTCCTGCACACATATTATCAAACGACCAAGAGAATGAATATGTGAACATTACAAGGAAATAGTGATGAGATCTGACTGAAAATCTTTTAGGCCTTTCAGCAACCAGATTACCTGCACCTGCATGAGATGCTGCCGCGGTTTGCATTGGTTCCCCGTTTGACTGGCTCAATTTCAACCGCTAATGTAGTTAGTACAGGGCTGATTCTGGCAGCTCTGGCTTACTCCATGAGCTTGCTATTTTACATAACGCCTGAAGAGGACCTGGGTGTTCCTGCTCACGTGACAATTGCCCTGTAGACACTGGCTTTGATGGGGAGGATGATAGTTTCAAAGGGAAGCCCGCTTCCTCCCACACTCTTATTTTTTAAGCTGAAGAACAGGTGTTAGAGGAGGGAAGGTAGCGGGCATTGGCCAAGGCAGCCTCTGTATCACTTTTCACTCATTCTTGGAGACACAACACAAAGTGTTAGGAAACAGCTAACAATTGAACTCGCCACAAAAGGCTGTGCTTTCA